TTACTTGTGTGGTGTAGAAGATAATTATTTAAGAATGTAATTATGTAAGAATGTTAACACTCTGTTATAATTTTTTTAGTATATTACTTGTGTGGTGTAGAAGATAATTATTTATGTAGAGATACTGCTTGCAAACCAATGATGGTAAGATGATGTCATGGGGTAGGACTGGATAAGTCTGACTTCTTCCTACTCCATTCAAGCATGTACTAGGTATAAGCAAATTGATATTGGATTAGCATTTGTTGGATATGTGTAAAATTATGTGTGTTGTCATATCAACTGTCTTTACATGCTTGAAAGAATAAATCAAATCAAAATCAAATAATAGTCTCATACTCCTTTGTGAATAATCTGTTTTTGCTGTTTAATTTCTCATTCTTTTTAAGTCATCATAAAGAAAGCAAGCAAGATGGAAATTCATTGTGATATTTAATGCGTAATGTTATAATTCTTAGAAGATATTTAGTAAGAGCAGGAACTGTGTCCTGCTTTACAGACATTAACATACACATTATTACTCAATGCGGTGTTAACTGCCACACGCACATTTTTGGCACACAGTAAATCTTCCATGACAACAAAAACAAAAAAAACCAAACTTAACAAACTCTAATGTTTGGTTCTGAATCACATTTGATCTGATTCACTGTGCAATAGACAGTTCATTAGTCAGTGAGTTACCAATTCTGACGCACACCAAGCACCGGTGTACACTGACAGTAAGTGGCGGTGCAGTCTTGCTTCCTATATTTGAAATTAATTCCTAAAATGCACTGCTTTAATAATGTAGAACTCTGAAAAATGTTGTTCCACCATTTATACTCCTTTAAACCTGTTTTGTTTGTGCATCGGTTGAATGTTTCTTTCACTTCTCCAAAAGCATTAGTTTTGTTGTTAGTTTAAAATACAGTCCATTGTTGAACTGGAGTCCAGTCTGTTTTATTCTGTCAAAAAAAATTAATGCATATTATACTGGAAGAATTGGGCTGTTATTTCTATTCATTAATGAGTTTCTTTTTAATCATTTTATATATTTTATATCTTCTTATTTTTGGTCACCTTCATTTATTTTGTGAGTTCTCAGTATTAAACAGTGTTGAAGAAATACATTTTTTATTAGTCATCTCTTACGTACAGTTTACTTGTATACACATTAATTTCTCGTACTACATACAAAACAGGAATGGCAGTTCTGTGTGTTATGATAACGCTGTGAACATAAAACATCAACTTAACTTTCCTTAGAAATGAAATAATAAACATAATTTGTTTGTATGATATCATATTTTGTTGAAGTTGGACACAGATTTTGTGCACAAATTAAACACAGGTGTTTTTTACCCATTTGTAAAATCAGAAGATGAAACAGAGAGAACAAACATTCTGAAACTTGAGTGAGAAAAAAAAACTCAGTTTCCCAGACACTATTGCATGAGCGACATCCGCCAACCAATGACACCGCCTTGTGAAAATATCTTCCTATTTCGAGGTGTGAGGTTGAAGAGAGTGCTGCATGAATTACTGACACAAAACACAGTCACACCAGAGACTAGAAGACAACTTCTGGAAATGGGTGAGGATTATTTTTGTCTTTATTGAAGCCAGATACTATTCATATTTGCTGTTTTATAAATTTGATTTATATTTGCTACAGCAGGTTAAATATGGTTTAGTTTTGGTTATATAGAACTTGATCAATATTAACATCTGCTTATACAATATATGAAAAACTGCCCGTGTAAGTCTGTTTTGCAAATGAAGATGAAGAAAGTTCATTACATGAATTTATGAACTATTTTGACTGAGAAAGCCTTAATGCCCCAGGAAGTGAACTTCACTATTGCCCAGATTAATTTATCACATTCATTTGACTGAGATCTATATCTAGTTAAAATGCCCGAGCCAGTGCATTTTTTAAAATACAAAAAGTTAAACATGCATAAAAGTAACAGTCCATTTCCGAGACAGTATATCAAAAATATTTCTTGAACACAAAATGGAGAAGTTCGAGGCTACTGAAAGCAGAATTAAAGGTTCAAGCCACAGCACAGGAAATAAGCGATCTCAAAAGAGAAGCATATTGGTTTTGCACTCAAATGATATCACTGTGGGTGGAGGGCTACGAGACACCGAGCTGGTGTGCAGAGTGACATTTCATTCTCAGAATTACATTTCATTTCCAGGACTGATGATTTTATTGTTTCTCTTTCATTATATTCTCATAAATTGCATAAATGTGGTCCTGGATATTGAGGCACACGTAAAGATAATCAAATGCATAAGATAAAAAATAAAATGTACTTTATGTTTTAACATATATTCCACTACTAATAGTGATATTATAGATGCATTTAATATATACATGTAATAGCTACACAATGTTTAAAAACAGTGCTTACCCCTCCTCATGTTGGCTTACTGTAAATACAGGGAATAATAAGGTTGTTTGCATACATTGCAGTTTGTTGCTTGAGATTCTCACTGTTGCCAAATACTGTAGCTCATATGCTTCAATATGATACAGTGCAGCATATGAGCGGTTATGTTCATGAGCAGGAAGTGGTTTTGCAACCTGTGGTTTTATATCAGACACTTTTGACAATGTCTCCTACAGATTTATTATTTTTGTGCTGAAACCGATCACCTGGCCATTACACACATTATAAAAGCTCCCCAGCAATGATCTGTTTCAATATGTTTTCTGACAGATGTATTTTACCTTGTCAGTCTGTACGTACTGTATGATGTTGTGTTTGTGATGCAGAAGTGGTTTTAAAATGCCTTGTCATTGTAATGTGTCTGTCTCAAGCTCAAGAGGACCAGGATGAGACGTCTCAACAAGCAGTAGCCAGTGATAAAGAGAAGGGGCCAGTGAACCAGGTACTAAACTCACTCACTTCTGGCAGCGAGCTGGGCAATTTCCATCAGTTACAGTTAATCAGTGACAACAGACATGACTACTTAGACTGGGTCATGCATTGTGTTTTCATTTCTCTTTTTGCTGAATTTGATAGAGGCATTTTTTTGAAATGCTGATTGTGTGTGTACAGTTGTTTCATCTTGGTGGCATATTGCGAAATGAGTAACAAGGAATAAATGATCTGCTTTGTATTCTGGCAGGGCTACAAATCGCACGCACATCTCGCTCACCACAATATTTCACTGCGTTTACAGAAACTACAAAAGGCCCTCATGGCCATTATTCTGGTAACTGCAGTGACAGATACAATATGAGAAACACAAATTAGTACATCAAATTTCCAAGGCTGATGTTAGTTGAAAGCCTCGTGGTTTCTGTAGTGACTTCTGGCCTGCCGATAGCACTGATCCAACACGCCACTGACAATCATTGTGAGAGTCACATATCAACACAGTGACATCAACATCACCCACGCTGTTTTCCAAAAATTTCATCTAGTGGAAATCAACTGCATGTTTCAGAATGGTATTCGCTCTTGGGTGTAGGGTGAGATCTGCAGCAAAGGGGCTTCAGCGTGTGGCTTAGAGTGCAGACGTTTCCTGTACGCAACCACTGATGCAGAAACCTGAAGGTTCTGTTATTTGGGTGAATGTGAATCTGTGGCTGAAAATAATAAAGCCCTTTGTGATTACCGGCGAATTCTGTGCAAGATCCAAAGCAGTTTTACAGTTTTCACGTCATCACCTACCTCAGTGATCGCCCTCACATTTTAAATGCAGATGCAAATATAATTTTGCCAGCCAGTTGTTGTTGTATTTTGTTTAATACAAACAAAACACCTGCCTTGTCGAGGTGTTCCCCTAGGTGATGCAGAATAACAGTGGAAAGTCAGAGGTGTCTACTGTTAGGCTGGGAACAGCAGTGTGGAGATGTGACTCAGTCTGGGGCTATCTTGGTTAGAGGCCTGCACCTTCACTATTACTCACTCTATAGGCCTGCTTCTCGGAACCAGGAACCACAGAGAGGAACTTGATTCACTATGAAACCACCTTGAGCTGTTGTACAATGACTGCCACAGAAATACAAGAGCTTCTGCATGTGGTGATTCAAAGTAAAATACCGACATTGTTCACTGTGGTCTCTTTTGACATCCAGTCTATTGAAATTGATCGGAGCAGTGGTGAAGTGAGATTTCACATTTAAATATCTGTTGTGAAATACTGTAATCCAGTTTCACTGCAATAACTGACGTAGCTATATCAGGAATCATATTACTGTGCATAGTTGACAGCTGCTATTTATTTATTCACCAACTTTAAAGAGTTTTAATAGAATTTCAGCAGAGTTAAAATATAGAAACTGTATTATCTTCATAAACAGTTTCTCTTCTTGCTCCTTGCTGTTTCATTCTTCACTTCTTGAAATCTTTCTATCTGATGATTTAAATTATGCCTGTCTTCACTGTTTCATTTCTCCTTTTTCACAAACCACAAATAGTGACAGAGTCAATTTCATATATTAGACTTCTGGGTACTCTGGGCTGTAACTTATTACACCATATTTCTTGGCATCTTAAAATCCTTATCAAATTTCTGGCACAAATTCTGCAGAAATACAGGAAACATGAAGACACATATATATATGACATATAGTATTAACAACATGTTATGCATAAATTCTTCCTTAAGGCTTATGTTTGTTTTTCAAAGTGACATTTGCGATACCAGCGACTGACAACTCTCGACCAAAAACCCCACAAGACTGCTGCTTTCTCTCCAGACAGGATGTATAGCGGTTATCTATTGAAAGTAGTGGTAAAACCCTATTCTGATTTTGTTGTTTCATTTCAGCAGTTGTGTCCCTTGAGATGACTCTGTGTCTTTTTCCCATCTATGATAATGCCCTCGACTGTAAAACAGGTTTCCATATCAGTGCAGCAGAGCGTATCACATTTATAGGAGATATTTGATTTAGATGCAAAACGCAGTGATGCACATTCTCTCTCTTCACAAGGCCTCTCCTGCCATTATTGAGATTCATGACTCTGCAACTGAATGTGAGGAAGACCAGAGGCCTAGCCTACTGCAGATGGAGGAAAAGGCATTTGTTTCAAGTCTACACTCTTTTATGAAGGACAGAGGTACACCCATAGAAAGGATCCCACACCTGGGCTTCAAACAGAGTGAGTCTGCATGCACTTGCACTGTGGTTAACTGTTATATGAACTATAATGTTCACATGGGATTTGAATAAAAAGTAGGTTCTCATATGCTTTTTTCCTTCTCCCAGTTAATCTCTGGAGGATCTACAAGGCTGTTGAGAAACTTGGGGGTTATGATTCAGTGAGTTTTTCATTTTACTATTGTTCGCATTCCATTGACTGGTGCAAAAGACGTTAGTGTTTACTGGTTTCTAAGTGGAAACTGAGCTAAATGTCAGGTGCTGGTGGTTTCTACCACACTGGAGGACATTTAGGCTTCTGAGTTTCTCAGTGCATCATCACCCATGCAGTTTTGTTTGATGTTGACATGGCGGGACAACTTCCAAGAGAGTGAGACTCAAATGGCACTGAAGTTGGGCTGGGGCTCCACACAGAGCTGACCCTCACCACTGTGAACACCATGCCCCAGGGTGTAAACATAACAATATAAACCACCTATGTTTGCCTAAATTTAAAAATGAAAGTGTTCTTTCAGAACTGAAATCAGCAGACATGGCATTTAAAGGGTAACCAGCCACCACTCTTCTTTAAAACAGTTTGAAAGCTAGATGTAAAAGTAGTTAGAGAAGGGTACTGGCGCAAGTTAACAGTGCAATCAGTGCAATATAAGAGTATGGACGACAATTAGATATGCTAAAATTAAAAAAAACATGAGCAATAAGTAGTAATAAATGAAGCTAGCAAGACTTCAGAAGACTTCTGTTCAGCCCTAAACAGCCACATGTTCCAGGAAAATAAACCATGATTAAGATTATTACAATGTTCAGAAGACTTCTGTTCAGCCCTAAACAGCCACATGTGCCAGGAAAATAAACCATGATTAAGATTATTACAATGAATCAGTGTTGGGGAGTAGTGAACTACAGTACATGCACTGTAATTAAACTGTAATTAACCAACAGGTAACGGCCCGGCGTCTTTGGAAGAAAGTGTATGATGAGCTAGGAGGAAGTCCCGGTAGCACCAGTGCTGCTACCTGCACCCGCAGACACTATGAGAAGTGAGGACGATTCTGGATCTTACTAACCTGTCAATTCAAAAATATCAGCTGATGCATAATCAGAAATGTATTTCATCAGGCTTGTGCTGCCCTTTGAAAGACACTCAAAAGGAGAGGAAGACAAGCCTCTGCCTCCAAGCAAGCCACGAAAGCCATATAAGAGAAATTTGGATGGCAAGGTCAGCAAGGCAGATGGGAAGAGGAAGAGGACTCAGTCAGACAGAGAGATGGATTCTGAGGTAACATCTATGATGAAAAGTCTAAAAGAGAGAAAATTCTGTTTCATGTATGCTCTAGTGTAAGTACATGTTGTGTTTTGAAATGTCCTCTGTATTATTTTATAGATGCTCCCCCAGAGGAGTTCAGATGCCGCTTGCCAGGGTGAAGCAGTGATGCCTCCTCACTCTGTCCTCTGGGCTGCCACCTCTGACAGGCACCATCCAGACTGTTCTCAGCCCAACAGAGCCCCCGCTGATCTTTGTACTGCTGTGTATGCCCACCTTCTTCAAGTCCCCACATCCACCCCCTGGACTGCTCACATACCATCTGCAGCCGGAGAGGTCATCTCTCCTTTGGAGAAAAAAAAGCGATTGGCTCAGGCTAGTCTTAACCTGCCCCTGAGTCCACAGAGCAAGGATAGAGAAAGGCCCTCTGTCATCCAGTGCTCACAGTCTCCAGCCCGCGCTTCGTCCAGTCGGAACTCCTCTGATGGCTCGCTGCTCCCTTTATCTTCCTCTTCTTCTCGCAGCCCGTCCCCTTACTCTGTTTCATCAGAGGATGGCCCAGCAGGGAATGAGCCTGCATCAGCCTCTGAGGTTCCCCATGACTGTTTGAGCACTGTCAAAAATACATCCAGCTGCAGCAAGTCTGTGAGCTGTAGTCAGACATCCAAAGACCTTGTAGGACAGAATAAAGACATTTCTCATGTCAGCTCCCAGTCACTGATGGCTAACTCACTAAAAAGCCAAATTAAAGACTCTGCCTGGGAGTCGGTCCACAAAGCAAGCAACAAACATTTCACTGATTCTGCACACTCATCTTCCTCTTTCACTGTGAAATCTGACTGGGCTCCAGCATCTACCTCTAGTTTCACCAAAGTTATTCCAAAATCTGTACAGCTTTTGCGGCCTGCTCCTATTCGGCCAACTTATAAATTCCATCAGAGCAGGCTGGTGCAACAGGACATCTCCCTGCCATGTACAAAGAAGCTGAACAATGTGGCTCCGTGGCTTTATCAGACAGAGAGGAGGGATAAATCCAGAACAATGCTACAAAAAATTCCTCTCACTCAGCAGAGTCACTCTGCCACCACTGTGCCACTCTCGTGCATACTGTCAAACTACGACAAATCAGGAAGAGACTCTTGGCTCCAGCCTCCATTTAACCCTATGTTTCTCCCCAGCAGAATGAGACTACCTCAGTCCCAGCTAATGTATCATCATGTACCAGTGGGTCCAGCTCACTCAGCTCTCGTTGGGTCTGCTGTTTACCCCTATCCCTACACCTTTCCTCTGTTAAATCCCCAAACTGCATATACTGTACCTGCCATGAATCCTATTTATCCTCACAAACTGTGATACTTTGTATTTCAACTCCAAACTATGGTGTTGATGATAGTAATAATAGTTTATCTTTGCACTGAAGATGGCTTGAGCTTGTCTGCCAACTTTTGAATGATTGAGTGTCGTCCTGATTAAGCCTAACTTGTGTTTTAAACATAGCATAAAACACAAGAAGTATTTATGCTCTGTGACTTCACACACAGCCTAGCTGTGTTAGTTACTGTAAGTGACTGGCTGGATCAACCCTCTGTGACCAAAAACAAAATACATTAAAGGGAAATTAGGTTAGTGCATTGATGGCTATAAATATTTATAGTGAAACAAATTGAATCATCCAAGTGCATCGAATTGGTGCATGATTCTTTTTTTATGCACAGCAGAACTGAGAAAGAAATCATTCAAACTGCATGTAATTATTTTTGTAGCTGTGATTTAATAATAAGATAGTTTTAACTTAAAGTGAATTTGAATGTCTCTGTTTTTGTTTAAGACTTTTTGTAAAAGTCCTTTTACACAATTATATGTACAGGGGAAACATTTTAATAACAGTGTTATGAATATGTCAAATTGACAAAAGATTTTGTAAACACATCCACTTAGGGTAAAAACAGAGATTTGAAATTCTTCCAGATTTGAAGTTCTTCCAGATATCTTCCTTCTTTGCACATTTGTCCTCACTTTTGAAAGCAAAGATGTTTCTAAACTGTATTTCATTGTACTGTACTGTTACACCTGATGAACATACACAAATGCTATAATGCCTTATATCAGTGTTAAATATTTCTAAAATTATTATATGCATATTTCATTGTCACTCAATTGTATTTAAACAATAAGTAAGTCAATGATTTTAAATTAATAATAAAAAAATAACAATTAAAACCTTTGGTCCTTTGTTTTAATTACAGAAATGTTACTGAATTTTTATCAAAATATTTTTTAACAATAATATTGTGATTTTAAACAATGCTTTATTTTGATTGTTAACTGATTTTCATGATAATTTGTCCATCATTTCACCTTTATTTAAATACATTTTTATTAGATTTTTAATTTGTCACCTGATTTATGAGTGAGTGACATTAAACAGCATGTTTAAGAGATATGAGCTCTCTTGTTAGTTCCTGTCAGTACTCTGGCTGCAACATTTTGGATTAACTGGAGGCTTTTTAGGGACTTACTGGGACATGCTGATAGTAAAGTAGTCCAGCCTGGAAGTAACAAATGCATGGACCGATTTTTCAGCATCACTTTGAGACAGGATGCTCCTGATTTTGGCAATATTGTGCAGGTGAAAGAAAGCAGTTTGAGAGACTTGGTGATGTGTAATTTAAAGGACATATCCTGGTCAAAAATGACTCCAAGGTTCCTCACAGTAGCACTGGAGGCCAGGGCTATGTCATCTAGAGTAATTATATGATTAAACAGAATATTTCAAAGGGTTTCAGGCCCGAGTATAAGAACTTTTAATAACACAAAAAAACAGCCATGCTACTGGCTTTGTGAAGCTGTAGTTAAGCAGAGTGGTCATTTTTTTTACTTTTTACTTTTCACTTTGTCATAAACCAAACTACACAGGACATGTTTATGTGAGAACTAGGAATGTCTGTACAACACAAATTTCATTTTGGGAAAAGAAAAGCATAGTTAATCTCAGTTAAGTTTTGCAACTGAATCACATCTGCCTTGCAGAGAAGTGAGAATAGAGAACAGGCTGCTGGGAGACACTTTTTTACTAGTATGTGATATCCGGGCAGATGCAATCTTTGCCTGCAGCCAGAGGAAAACAGGCTCGGCCATGCTTTACATCAGTTTTGCAAACAGCCAATTAATATAAAATGTCTTCTAATGTTTGACCAAACTATACTGAACATACTACTTTGTTTAAAAGTCACCACCAATGCCACAACATTATACTATACTATTTTATTTGACTGCACAGATAGAAGAATGGACACAAACCAGGTTGTGCACTCACATTTACACTAACACTTGGCTGTACTGGTAGCTGAAAGGATTCATATTTAGATAGTGGGACAGCAAGCTAAATATGTAAAATTGTGCAAACTACTAGTGGCAGTCACCTCTTCATATTCCCTTTTTACCTTTTTGGTGACTTGTTATAAAACATAAAGTTTTTAAATAGCATCATTAAATTATCTTTGTCATTTCCTATTCCATGTGTGCATACTAGAACATTGATATTATCAACAACCCCTTGTTTTTTTAGGCCTGCGGACAATTGGTGTGATGACAAAACTGGACCTGATGAATGAGGGGACAGATGCACAAGACATCCTGGAAAACAAGCTGCTGCCACTCCGCAGAGGTGAGATCACACGCGTATTTTAAACGCTATAGTATATTTAAATCCACCCGTGGCAATATACATGCTTCCATTTGACACTTGTCCGTAGGGTGCTGCTGTTGCCAGCTACGTATGTGGTTCTGTTTTTGGGGAACCTGCTGATCAAAACCCACTGACAGTCGGTTTTGTGAACATACCCAGTGCTGCCAAATATCTTTATCACTAACCCACATGTTAACAGACTGTAGCCCAGATATTTTATCAGACACGCACGCACAGCACAGAACTGTCAGTAACATATTATTCATTGTCGCTCTGTAATACTACACATTGGCTTTGAAATTTAACAATTATGTTAAACTGATTCTCAGTTAAATAATTTAGTGTTTACTTCTACATAACCAACTTCTTAACAACAGTTCCCCAGTTTTCAGGGGCGGAAAGCAGCAGTTTACATAACTTAATATCAGAATTTTTTAATATTAGCTTTTCTTCGTTGATGCTCTGCTGTAGCTGCTTTCACTTCTTGCTTGTTTTAGAGCTTTTTGCTGGGTACAGGGATGATGGGAGATAACATACTGACACACTTTCTTTCCAGCTGCATTGCTGTAAGTATTGGGTTATAATTGTCTGCACTCAAAGCCTGGCTGAGTGGGTATAAAGCTTCCAAGGCCTTTTTTGTTAATGATTCTCAGCTCTATCTTCTCTCCATCCAGCCCTCACCCACTTAGATTTAAAAAAAAAAACTCTTATGTGTGAATGCTAATCCTAGACTTCAGTTCAGCATTCAACACAATCATTTCCCAGCAGTTTACACAAAAACTTGGACACTTGGGACTCAAAACGTCTCTCTGCGACTGGGTGCTGGACTTCCTAACAGGTAGGCCACAAAATGTGCGGGTCGGCAGCAACCCTTCCCCGCCCATCACA